GTCTGAATTGATTATCATATAAGTTATCGTTAATAGAGTGCGTAGGGCACAAACTTGATATTACATTATATTTTAAATATTTTCATTTTATTTCTCTTCAATTCCAATCTCTCAAGCTTTGACGATTGTAGTCTCTGTACAAGGTAAGTCTTATAATTTTTTATCCAACAAGCCTTAGTTTAATATAATTTTTTATCAGAGAAAAAATAGCAAAACACTGACGTGCTGCACTTCCATGCTACCTACTATTCCTTTCTTGCCAAATATATTAATTAAAAGAACACCAAACTATATGCATGATAGCAACCCTCAAAGACTCCCCCTTAACAAACCTCTACAACCAATCAATCAAAACCATCCAATAGTTGTGAGAAACAAAATGTCTACAAGCCTTCAAAATCAATTGTCAAACTTGACTAGAATAACAACACTCAATAAAAAGATGATCACACGTTTCCAAAGCATCGCCACAAAGTAAGCAAAAATGATCAATTTGGCAGCTCCATATTATCATCCTATTCTTTGTTGTAGTCTATCTTGCACTACCAACCATGAAATAAAAGAATGTCGAGGAATGACCAACCCTCCCCATACAACTCTAAACCAAGGCACCCTATCTTGTTTGTGCCTAAACAGCTCCCAAACTTGCCTTGCCTTGTACCCCTCGTGCAAATTATCAATAAGGGTCAAATCATCTTGATTAATTTTTTTCAAGCCCAATTATGACTAATCTTAACTTGGAATTGCCAAATAGTGCAACCTTTCAACAAATATTTCTCCACCCAAACTACCCAAAGAGAACCAGACTGGGACAGAATCAACTACAAACACTTCATCACGCAAGTTTTATTTCATACTAAGATGTGCTTAACTCCAAGTCTCCCTTCACACTTAGGGTGACAAATTCTCTCCCAACTGACTCTAGCCCCACGACAGAAATATCACTTCCTTTCCAAACAAAAACAGCACAAATCCTTGTAATTTACTTTATGAACTTTTTAACCAGCAAAAAAAATCCTACTCCAAAAATTTTGTATACTAAAGATCACTGCCTGAATGAGTTGTAACCTACTAACAAAAGTTATACATTTTACAGACCAACTTCTAATTCTCCTCATAATTTTCTCCACTAATCTCTCACAATCAGTGTAAGATAGATTCTTAGTAACAAGGGGACACCTAAATATCTCACAAGCAATGAACCAATACTAAACCCATATATCTCATCAAGACTTTGCACATTAGAATCTCTGTAGCACCCTTACCCGTATTTAATTCTCAAATATGAGTAATAATGTCACAAACTGGTTTTATAACTTTTAAATTTAAACCATTTATCAATTTATCCTGTAACATCAATTCCTAATTTTTAATTAAGCAAACTAAATCCAATTTCAGGTAGCAACTTAGCAGTACATAACTAATAATTGCTTAAAAATTGCTTATAATTTAACAATATTATTAAACTTGTAATTCATTTACCAATTACAAACACTAATATAAATTATTCATTGTTTATTTTAACCATTATCCATCATTACCAACATTACTAGCTTATAATTTATTACCAATTATATCTAAACTAGTAGAAACCAACTATTATTATTATATACATGCCAACTAGAAATTTAAATTATATCAGATTGATGTAATTACTGATAATGTAGATATACCTCTTGATGAGTGTGATGCTTGATACTCCTTACTCCAATTTTTTGTTTTTTACCTATGCATGAAAATCATTACACGCTAAGTATACACTTAGTGATGCAATAATAATAATAAGTGTAATACAATGTATATATACATGAATAACAATACTCAATGCATCATGATCACTTTACCTGTATTACCTTCATGTTACAATATTAACATGAAATAAACAATGTATATAATTTCTTACCAATATACTTGTCATTTATTTTATAAGCTCATAAGCTTAATCACCTACTTATAATTTATTAACCAATAAACCATAACCCAAATATAAGCCTATGAGAACCCTAGGTACACAAGTCAAATATGCACTGAGATGCTAATACACATAAGGTCGTGCCCACCACATGCACTAAGTGTCCTTTATATACACTATAGTGTTAATTCAATTATGCAGCCTGCTGCTGGACTATATGGCATGTCAACTATACCACTGTCCCTCAATGACCTACCCAGACATATAATCTATATTTATTTCATATATGACATTGTATATCAACATAATTCAACATTAGACAATTCATACCCAAAATAACATTCATTATATAACATCATAAATAAACTAGTGATCAATGCATTTTATATTAACTTTTGACATATTTAGAACATGTCAAATATATGATTAATGACATAAATATCATTTCAATATAAATAAGGTAGACTCGTCACAAGTCTTCTTAATGATGTAAAAAAAATCCATGTATCATGTTATGTATGCATTGCACCCACATTGACATTTTTTATACAAGTCAAAATATAAGTCTCACTAAGCTTTAAGCTCGATCTTTTTTCTTTCCTTTGTTGCTAGTTAGATCCCGGTTTTGATTAATGTCTATAAATACATCAAACACATAACACAAAAATCAAAAATCAAAAACACATGTTAGAATCCATCTAACCCATGCGTATATAATGTAGGAAAATTTCATAATATTCATTCCAATACAACATTGTAATTACAATGTTTCATACACTTCATTTCCGTATTAATTTACTTGAATTAACCTTTAAACCAAATTTCACCTCAAACCCTTATTTTTCTCTTTTAGGCTTTAAGAATTAATCATAAAAATTTCACATTTCAAGTCTAAATCCAATAATTCATTAAATTAATCCTTGAAAGATAATAAATAAGTCGCTTGAATTTTGCTATAAACTTTTCCTTGAGAAACACATATGGCAATCCATCACTTTCCAAAATGTTTTCAAGTTTCAAACAACACATTTAAATATTTATTGTGATTTTCTACCGCGGCCTTCATCAAATTCAAGCTTTGAATGTAATTCCCAAACTTTTCCTAAAGTGTCGTTTTGGTTACTATTAAGATTCAATCATTCTTCCTCATTCTCAAGCTTGAATAAACATGCTAAGGCATATAACTTAATATTCTCATCATATCTAACATAAAAATCAATTCAAAACATCAACCCCTTAACTTTTCATCTTTTCTAAATGGACCCTTGAAGGAAAACTAATGTATTTTTCATTATTTGGAACATGAAATCAACTTCACAACACCTATATCATCATTTTCAAGCCTTAAAATCTCAAATTTCATCATCCCTTCATCCACCCTTTTCATAAATTTAGAGTTTTAAGCATGAACAACATGAACAAACGGTACCAAATGAAAGAGAATTTAATAGAGAACAAAATTGGATTTCATGTCTTAACCTTAAATCTAACTCAAAATGCATAAAAAAATACCTTTGTTTTTGAACCCACGGAAGCAGCAAATTCAAGAGTTTTCTTGAATTTTTAGTCCTTTTTATTATTATTTTATAACCTAAATGAATTTAAAAATTCATTTTAGTCCAAAATGATTATTATGACCTTAAAATCTAATGATCCTAATCATGTCACTTATTAAATTTATCATTCAAGGGCTGAAATTAATCCATGAAGTTAGTAGATTACAATTTTACCCTTGTAAAGTTCTAAAATTGCAATCTTGTCCTTTTTAATCTTATGGCTAAGATTTAACATGGAAATCAACTTAAATCCAATGGTCTACATTAAATCTTATCATTTTAAATCATGGAAAAGACATTTTTGACCATTTTTTATCATCTAGCAAAATTTCATGAATTTTCGATTCGATCCGATTATCCAAAATTTTCTCAAACTTTCACACTTTATAGCTTTTAACACAGACTCCGTACGAAAAATCTAAAACCCATGAAAATGTCATTCTTGGGGGTAAACTATTCATTTACGGGACCAAGTTATACAACTTTTTAAAATTACACTTTGATTCTGAACTTTCCAAAGTTTATACTTTAGGCACCAAAATTTCAATTTATTCATTTTGGTCACTAACCAAATTTTGGGTACTACAATCTCCCACACCAGAACATAACAACTCATTCTTAGATGTATTCATTTGCAGTCCCGACATCCTGCAAAACATTTCCAAAACATTTTGGACTGCCAGAATAGAAAAGATGTTACCTTTAATAAACACCAAGGGATCATCAGCAAATATATATGAGTTAATATAATCCTCCTACATTTAGGGTGGAAATCAAAGACTTCATGCTTCCCTTCCAAATTCAACAAACAAGAAAACGCATTCATACCATAATGAATAGATAAGGAAAAAATGGATCTCCTTTCCTAACTCTGGTCATGACAATAATTTCACCTATCCCATCGTCACCAAATTACTAGAAGTTGGTTCCAATCACTAATCTACACCAACTTGGTCATAACTTTGCCACCTAATACCATGAGTCCATATTTACTTTTGATTAGTGAGACTCCATATTTAAATGTAAATAGTTGATTATAATTATTAGTTATGATTGATATTAAATTTAAATTCAATAATTTTTTAATACAAGAATATATATTTTTTAATCAATTATGATAATAACCTTTTACGATATGTTCTCTATATTTTCAACAAATGAGCAATTTGATCATTGATCCCTGTACATTTCTACTTTCACGAATTCATGAATCTTTATCATTTAAAATAATTATTCCTTTGATCCTCCAACCTTTATCAATATTCAATTTATTAAACTAATAATTTACTATAACACGTGGAAGTGAATGAACACATCATAACTGTATATTTTTTCAACACCGAAATTTTGAGAACGTTACAATTATTATACTAAGCTCGAACTTACGTACGATTTACTGCACACTGCCAATCAGATTTATGAGCATTTGAAAAAAAAGTACAGTAATACTACGAATACAATCAGAGTTCAGAGATGCATCTTAAATGGCATTAACAATAAGTAGCCTTCTCAAATACAACTTTTACAATCAAAAGTGTGAACATTAGAGGTATCCCACATTCAGAACATTTGAATGAAGTAAAAATGTCTAATATGGGTCTATCAACCCAACAGAATAAATTCGAATGAACTCCGAAAATGGAATCGAATAATGCAGATGCTAGAGGACTTCCTTTATTAGTTTCTCTGTTAGAGCTTTCGGCAATCCCATCACGCTGTCCGTTGTCCCTACCTGCAACGATATCAAACATCGTCTTATCTTGCCTCCTCTAATGTCAAAATATAATGTTCTGTTAGTGAAATCAAGTAGCCAACGGTATAAGATGCTTTGGGGTTCTGAAACAGCGTTCAAGGGCTGTCAAGGCATTTTATCAACCTATTTCGGTATGGAAGAATTCAAGCATTGCCTAAAATTGCATATTGAAGTTAAGCATGTTGATTTAACTAAATACAAGACAGCATGAAGCATTTTCACCAAGAATAGCATCAATTCTACAAAGTGGCAAATCCTACACATATGTGAATTATTTACGGATTTGTTAGTTCGTAATAACATGATCCATCATCCATAAGAAAATAATCACACTAACCACTTGTTTAACATATGGCATTATCAAAGGATGCTCGATAACCAGTGCTCCAGCAACATGTAATACAGCCCCTTCCTCAATCTGAACAGGTAAGAAACAGACAAGGATAACCAATATTTCCCACGAAATAAGCAAAATGAGGGAGAATGAAAAAGTAGAAGAAGAAAACTCTTACTAGTTTCTCGATGATCTCATCTGGTATTTCGTGAAAATATATCTGCAGGGCATTACAAATGAAATTGTGAAAAAGAAAATGTTAAGCACATTATGAATATGCTTTTGTAACTTTTACAATACGTATCAAGTGCCTAGAGTGGAATTAGCATAACTACAACGCAGATCCGTCTAATGATAACTTGCTTTACCCCTTCAATTACATAAGGATAAGGTGATATAACATGCAAAGTAGGTAGAAAAACATTCTTCATTACTATTTCATGTGCCTTTGATGCAAGACCCAATAATTTCACAAAGAAAGCTGGAGAACAATAGCCAACATACACGACAACGAACGGAACAACATTGCAGAGTTCTCCAAATCACTGGTATGACTATCAAAATTGTGAGTATTGGCATTTAAGTTCCAGATCCAATAGGCAGTGTTGGGTTACTTAGGTATTGTTTTGAGAAATGTTCTGCGCTAGCCAATTCCTCGAAACAAGTGGGTTCAAAACCAGCACGGTTTCAGTCTATATTTATTCATACTTGAAAACTGTGTTATGATATGTTCGTCACATATGTTGGGAGTTCTTAAGAGATATCTTTCTTCTCATGAAACATGCTTCACTAGGTACTTGACACAACTGAGAAAGAATATAACACACAATAAAATTACACGGCTAGCACGTCATTTACCTTACTCCAAAGTTCTCTGTTCATTAAAATCAGAGAAGTTTGATAATTATTCAAGCAGTTGCCAAGGTTTAGATATTGGAATCAAGAATGAAAACCATTAATACCTCAACTCTATCCCATTCTCCTTTTCTGATTCCGGTTTTAAGGTTAGTAACTATAACAGATCCCACAGTTGCACAATGCCCACCCGAATAGCCTGCACAATGGTATTCAGTAAAGTTTTAAAAGAGTAGAAAAGTAAGGATCAGATTGAAAAATATTAAGACAAACCTCTTATAAATTCACGTGCTTCTTTCTCGTTGGCTGGCTTTTCCCTTACAACACCTTCATAGACCACCACCTCGAGATCATTTAACATAACAATGAGTGAAAAGGGTGGAAGGGTTGTTTTTAATCCCCTAATACAAGTTAGAAGCATGAATTTTTGCCAATTGCCATCTATGTTTGAAGATGCATTTTGAAAACGTGCTTAGGACAGAAAAGATATACCAACAAAGTAGTCCGGCATACTTCACGGATTATTGGGTTGTTTTTAATCCCCTAATACACGTTAGAAGCATGAATTTTTGCCAATTGCCATCTATGTTTAAAGATGCATTTTGAAAACGTGCTTAAGACAGAAAAGATATACCAACAAAGTAGTCTGGCATACTTCATGGATTATTGGGTTTATTTCACAGAGAAAGCATGTCAAGTTTAAAACCAATGGTAAATTTGATTAACAGTGAGCCATTTGGCCCCTTAAAAATATTGTAAATTATGATTAAAACAATTCACACTAATTGAGAAAATGAACTCATGCGTTGCAACAGTCATATAAGGAAGCTATTATAGGGACCTGCTGAAAGATTGACGGGTGGGAATGATTGACAATATTAAAACAGAAGTACAAGCATATAGAAATTAAATATATTTTTACCAGAAAAGAAAGGGTTTATGCTGCACTAGAATACTTGTGAACTGTTCTTCAAAAGTTTGACACATGCAACATAGATTGTGTCCATAATTAAACATGTCGGGAAGTCTAAAATGAATAGAATTATACTCAATCGGAAGTAGTTAGCATTGTCAGCTCTGCATCATTTATGATCACCAATGAAGAGAAATTTCGACTGGCTAAGCATATACCAAGAAAATACCATGCAGCAGGCAACAGCTGCAGTGGAAACGGTCAAAAGAAAGCACATGCATGTGACCCAAGCATACAAAAGCCACACTTTAAACGTGAACGCTCATCAGAAGCTTGAATAATCCTTTATTTAGGCCCACTTTTTATTCTTTCGTGATAAGCCTACCAAGGATTAGAACTAGCCTTTAGCGAAAGAGACATAAGATTCAACCTAAGTCCCCCCCCCCCCAAACAAACCCCCACAATTAGCCTTAAGTTGCAATGAAAAAACAAGAAACAAGACCTTAAGTAGCTCTTATGCTATTGATATTGTAACAGATCATTTACTTCCTCCAAAAATATACCTTGGAGGCTCAGACAATATGACATTAGGTGAAATAATTGCCAATTACGTAAAATAGGAGATTCAACCAGTAACTAAACAAAGTCAAGACTTGAGACATACTGTATCAGCAGCAATCAAAATAGTTGGTATCTCATCCTTCTCTTGATTATTGATGCTTTGTAGCTTTGATACAATGGAATCAGCCTGAGATGTAAATCACATTAAAATCAATACAAACACACACACACACACACACACACACATATTCCTTCTCCAGTTTGATAGTATTTCTATAAAACAGAGAAGTAGACAATAAGCGCGCATACAAGCAACTGAAGCAAGTAATACACACACACATATATATATTCCTTCTCCAATTTGATAGTATTTCTATAAAACAGAGAAGTATACAATAAGCGCACATACAAGCAACTGAAGCAAGTAGTACACACACACACACACATGATATATTAATAACGGTGCTCAAAGCAAAGAAATATAACATTGATTTTAGACTCTCTTTTTTTTCCCGCAAATCAAAACAATCATTCCAAATAAGAAATCCACCATTAAATAAAAACCAGAACCTTTGCTTCAGCGAGAGCCATGACCAACTCTTCCGGCTTCTCCTTTCTGATACCCTTCTCATCAATATCTGCACTCTAGAAAGACAAACCCAACTGAAACAATCTTTTTAATTAGAATAAGTAACAATTAAATTTCCAAAAAGATATGAAAATTACCATGAGTGTGAATTCATATCCCATTTCTGATAATATATTACGGCGAGCTATGGAAGATGAACCCAATATTATCTGCAGTACAGAACAACCATAAATCAGCTAAAATTTACAACAGAGTTTCAAAATTTCTGGAAAAGCTAACATAGTTTTACAAGAGATTTCGGACAAGAAGTAAAAGAACAAAGATATTTTAAGAGTGAGCGGCAGGCTCCTTATCGTACCTTGAACGGACAAGTTTTGCCTTCCATTTTGACTTCCAGTTTTGTCTTCGGAAAGCTAACTAGCCACTAGTTAGGAAGAGAGCCAGAGAAGAGAAAGAAAGTGACGGTGCGACTTGTGAGGCGAGTGTTTAGTACGCCGACCCAAATAGGACCCTGATCACGAGCCCTATATTGTCGAGCCAGGCACAAGTTTACGCCATTAAGCCCACCAATGTGGCTAATAAACAAAGTAGTTACACTTGTGTACTGTGTTATGAATTATGATGGCGTATTTTCAACTTTCATGTTATTTTATTTATAGATTATTTATAAATTAATTTTTAAAAATATTCATATTTTATTTTTTATTAATATAAATCTAATATTATAATAATATATTATAAAAATAACAATTCATTTAAAAATATCAAAATTTAGAATATGATAATAAATTAATTTCTATTAATATTTTGTCGAATAATAGTATATTGTAATATTTTATCTCATTAATTTATATTATAAATTAGTAATCTATCTTATAATATTCTAATATATCGTATTCATCAATTTTCTATAATATTATTTTTACTTGTGTCGCATATTGAGTGGATCATTCGTCTAAACCCTTAGCAGTGATGATTTTATTTATTTATTTATACAATTACAATAATAACGTAAATAAGAGTGTGTTTGAATAAAAAATAATTTTTGAAGGTTTTATAGATATTAACATTTATAATTATTTTTTAAATAGATAAGTATTATACAAAATTTAAGTTATTAGATTTTTAAAATTTTGAAGCTATATATAAAAGAAAATAATAATAATAACAATACAACAAAAAAAGTAAAAATATTTATTAGAATTAAATAAATATAATATTTTAAGGTTTATTTTTTGTTTATATGGACTAAAAGATGACACATTCTTAGGATGTAATAGAAAATAATATTAAAAATGAGACATGTTTCAACTTTTTAATTTTTTGTGAGTTTAAAAATTCAATTGTCATGTAATCAAATATTAATTAAATATTCAAAAAATAAATATTAATTAACCTAAAAAATTTAGTAATAAAATAAATTTATATTTGCTTAAATTATAATTATATTTATAAACAATAAATATGTATGACTACAATTAATATATCCATCAAATTACAATTATAATCATTTGTTATAAAATATAAACGAATATATTAATAAATATAATTAAACTAAAATTACATGCGATATATACATTTATAACAGTTGGTAATAACAATTGGTATATATTCTTTTGCATGTTATTGCTATGAATCTCATGTTTCTTTTTTTTTTGTAAAATCAAATGATTGCTTTAAGTCATTCCATGAATTAATATTTTTTTATTCAATTTATAATTAAACTTTATAAATTGGTTTTTTTTTCAAAGTTAATAAATCTTTGTCGAAACATTTTTTTTTCTTAAAGGTGAGATTTTGAAAACCACATTAATTTTTAATATACCTCTTTCAATTGATTTTTAATTTAAAAACAAATGCGATTTAAAAACCTCTCGTTTCGAAAAATTTTGGATTTCCTTTACGATAAAAAAAAATACAGTTCAAAGAGTCGTCACCAATCTTTGGCTAGGGTGTGATTGGGCACCCAAAAATGTTTGTTATTTAAATAAAAATAATTAATTAAAACAACAAATTAAGGTCTGCTTTACCAAAAAATGAGTTCGGGAGTCGGTTACGTGTGGGAAAGGATTAGCACCCCCACAACGTCCTAAAACGGTACCTAATCGATTAGTTAACGTCTTTGCAATGAACTTTACAAATTCGAATTTAATTTAATTTTTGATCCCATAAAACAAAGATGTAAATTTAAAAAAAATATTTAAAAGCACTTAAATAAATTAAATCAAAATTACCAAGTCGTTTTTGAAAGATAAAGAATGTTCGATTATTTACAAATATCGAGACCATATCTTAAAAGCTATAACAACCTTTTCTCGATAAATTTAAATAAACGAACAATTCCTTTTCTTTCGTTCCCAAATTTTAAGTGACGAATCAATTTTTTTTGTTTCACTTCCGAGATACGCTTTTAATTTAAAATAGTCAAAACGGCTCTCTAATCAGTTAAGACAAGCCACTCAAGACAATTTTAAATTAAAAGGGTATTACCCTTAGTCCGATTATGTATTTATAAGTCGAGTTATGCACATGAGGGTATCATACAAATTATGCAAAAAAATGTCATGTCAAAATTAATTAAACAAAATTAAAAAAATAGCATACAATGTGACATACAAAAAATTATATACGTATATTTTAATTAAAAATCATAAATTATGCATATTGACATATTATGTACACATGTGACCTAAATATAAAAAACAAAATCATAACATGCTAAACTATAAATTTAAAAAGTATATATATACATGTTAAAATAAGGACTAAATTTAAATACACATAAAATTAAACATACTAATTAAAAATTAAAACAAATTATGGATTGCTCTGTAAAATGCGACTAAATTGAAAGGTCTAGACATAATTTACCCCTAAAGTCATGGTGACTAAACCCTAATTTACCCAAATATTTTAATGACTAAATCCTAATTTAACCAAAAATTTTATTGTATAACTTAACTAAATAAATAAATAAATAAACTTAATCTACTTTGCTAAAACTAAACTTACCTGACGCAGACAAACCTCACGCTTTACTCTTCTTCTCCAACTCTTCCCCTCTTCTATTCTTCATCGCTTCCACTTCACATGGTCAAAAGCAAGACTCTTCGAGCCTAATAAACTCTGGTCGGCCACCATATTTTGGTGGCCACTCCTACCCAAACCACCACAAAATAATCCTTAATATAAAGAACCCAACACCTATGTTCTATAACAACCCGAACGAAACTCCAACCGAAGCAAAACGGTCACCACAACCCTCCATCGCTCAAAGCCCCAACAACGGAAGGAAATCTATCGATGAAGAAGAAAGGTAAATTTTTGTTTGGGTATTTTACTTCTATGGGCAAGGTTCCATTTCTAATTCTTAAACGTTTTTTCTAGATTACTATTTCTAAAGATAATCTCCTAAATCGACCCAAGGATGTTAAACTAACAAGTTTATAATAGCCCTAAGGACGTATCCTTTAACTTCCCATCACTGGAAATGGCTTCAATCACTAAGGTAAACATACTACTATTCTTTTATGGTTTTAATTTGATTTCAATTCAAAAAAAAATGCACACATAAGAATATTATGAAAGTAATTGAAAATGGAAACTAAAAAATACCCGTTTGATTCTGTATATTGCTTTGGTTCAATGAAAATTGGGCTCTTTCCTTTGATTTTCGAACACTCTTTGTACAATCGTTTGATCCTTTTGATTCTGTGACCAAGAAATATTTTACAAAAAAAAAAAAAAACTATCCTCTAGTTCTTGCTCTCTTTTTGCTCTCGTGTTCTCTCTGTTCCTTGTGTGTCTTTCTTTTCTTTTTTTTGTCCCCTCTCTTTTCTCGTTCTTAATCAATAAAAACTGCCCCTCACTCCATTTACCATTTTTTTAAACTCATGATAACCATTTTCAGTTTTCCAAGACTTCACGGACTGGAAGCTTGGATGATAACAATGCTGGGTCATTAGGCTTGAACTGGGCCTTCAACGGGTTGGGTTCTTCTTTAGGCCTGCCATTGCTTCAGGTCTGCTCCAACTTAGCCCCAGACAAATCAAGCATCTACAGCTGCCTCTCTTTGCTCATTATCGTATAACGAGAATAGAGCAAAGATCAAAAGATGATCAAGTTTGTCCCGTCCTGAGAGCTCCAAAAGATTAAAGCAGCTCACTGTTACTTCGGAATAAACGAAACTTGAGAAATCTTCGAATGACGAGTCCACTCCCTATTCGTTCAGAGAGTATAAGACTCGAACAATCTTCAATAAATCCCTATTCACTCAAACAATCATAAAATGGGCCCGCTCTCTATTTCTTCAGAGAGTATAGAACTCGAACAATCTTCATAAAATGGGTCTGCTCTCTATTCATTCAGAGAGTATAGAACTCGAACAATCCTCAACAAATATGTCCGCTCCCTATTTCTTCAGACAGTATGGGACTTGAACAATCTTCAACAAACTTGTTCGCTCCCTATTCCTTCAGAGAGTATAGGACTCAATCTTCAACAAACGAGTTTGCTTCACTACTCTTCCGTGAAGGCATAAGTTTGAATTGCTTCACTACTCTTTCGTGATGGCTTAAGATTGACCTATTTCGAAGGTCCAACCTGAAAATCAAACATTACCAATCATTAATGTATGTTTAAAAATATTATACTCAAAAATTTAGAATTTGAGAAAATTTCTGAAAATCCATCTCCATCGCGAAAACTTGTCTGGAAGCCATTGGATACGTGAATCTGCTTTGGCTCAGTTTTCGTATAAACATCATTCTCGTCAAGATCTCAAAACCAGTTATCTTCATCCTCGATGCTTCAATATCTTCAATCTTCAACTATCCTTGTGAAACCTGTAGATATTTAAATCATCATGCAATTATGAATGCCATGATCCTATTCATGCCTAAAATGTATGTAATTATGCAATTTAATGCATTTTCTTCTTCGAAAGAACACCATCTCATTTTGATCTCAATGGAACTTGGTTTCGTCTTGGGCACAGAACATTTGACCAGTTCATCCCAGTTGACAATCTCAATACCATATCCTTCGGTTTAACAGGACCTTGACTTCTTTCTTTCCTGAAAACCCATTGGTACCCATAACCAACCTCTTGATCAATGACAATCTCTTTGGGTCTTCTTATCATGGCTGAGATTTTTTATGAATTTCAAGATTTTAGTTTCCCGTAGCCACATAAGCTTACATGTTTAAACCATTGTCAGCTTCAGAATACCTGCATTTTCCAAAACCTTTTGCACAATAATACAAAATGATCTCATGTACTTCAAGTTAAGCTATATGTTTTAACTTTTCAAAATAAGATGCTTACAAAAGGGAAATTAACAAGAAAATACATCTCTTTATTTATATAAATGCAGAGAATTTTTAGGTAACTACATGGCAAAATTTTAACTGGGAAAAGCAAAAGAACAAAAGAGTAGGCATCTTCAAATATCAATAATGCAAATGCTT